AAAATATTACAGATTATGCGCCTTGGCTTACTGGCATCTGGCTTTACTTCTGCAGAAGGATAACATGAAAAGTTAGAAAAGAGTCATCATCAGAATGTTATGTCACACTTTAAAAGACACGTTACTTTTAGAAAAGAGTTCATTACCTTTAGAAACACATTCAGTATTTGAAGTGTGAAGACATAGATTTAAATACTGGCTCTATTGATTTCTAGATATTTAACCTTGGACAAGTTTCATAGCCTCTCATATTCTAATTTCCAAGGTTGTAATTTTATAGAGGATGAAGATGCCTGACTCCCAGCCATGTTATAAAGATTAAATGAGAAGTGAATGTAAGATCACCTGATAAGTCCACAAAATAAGTTAGCTACCTTTATTCTTTCCTTTACATATCAGCTACTGATTGGCTGCTTGTTCTGGTGGTTCACTATTCTATGTGCCTTTTAAACATCAATCAATAATACAAAGATCTCTACCTTCATAGAGTCAAAAATCTAATTGGCGTGGGCCAGAAGGTAGAATTTGAATCTAAGTTTAAATGATGATAGTTACTACCCACATACAAAACAAGCCAGTTGACCTTCACAGTACACTTGTGAGGAAGATAGGGCTTCTGGCATGATCCCTAACCTACAAACAAACAAACATGTTTACAGACATTAAGTGGCTTTCCCAAAGTTAGATAATTTGTGGTAAATCCAGGAAGAGTTCAGTGTGCATGAATCCACGTTTTCCCACTCTGTCTTGCTGCCATAAGGCTTTGAAAAATGTATTTTATTGGAAGTATACTTAGTAATTAGAGATGTAGTTAACTTGCTAACCAGAGGAGAAAAGCAAAACGGTAAATATATATATATATATATGGTGTGCCTTGGGGGATTGCATTTTAAGCAGATCTTCATACAGAAAAATCAAACCTGTTTAGGTCCGAACCGTGTTGAAAGTCATTCCCACCCTCCTCATATCCTTCAGAATCAAATCTAGAATCTTTAATATACATTCAAAGATGACAGGAGACCAGGCTCATGATTTACCTTCCAGCCTCTTTCCCCCTCAGCCCGTAACTCCCAAACTCAGGCTGTACTGTGCTGTCTTTAACAAGGATAGTTACGAGGTTTCAACTTTGCGCCAGTACCTGAGCTTAGTGTCTTCCATGCAATCTCACTAACCCTTACCATGAGCTTGGCACGTATGTACGTTGCTGCTGTTTCACAGCTGGACCACATAGCTGGAGAATGGGAAGTCCACGAATAGGGCACACGTTAGACTCAGACTATGCTTTTCATCATCTTGCACTGCTATAACTTGAGCGGTCACAGCTTCTTGCCAGTTTGTTTTCCAAGTCACTTGGCTCAGAATGCTCTTCCTTCCCCTTATTTATTCTTTATGAATCAGTTCAAACTGGTGGCCCCTTTGGGGAGCTTTCTTGAAACTCCTGCCCTACCCTACCTCCCAGCCCAGTTCAGTGATAATCTTTTGTTTCCTTAACACCTTGTTCTTAATAGACTTACTACACACCTTGCTCCAAATTATAATTACTGGTTTATTAGTACCTCTTGCCAAGTAAAACTGTGAGCTCCTTGAGGACAAGACCCACACCTCCCTAACCTCTGCATACCCAACACCTAGCACTGTCCCTGCCACATGGCAAACACGATGATTTTTTTTGTTGAGCTGAATTAGTACTATTTGGATACCAGCAAAATTTTAATTCAGCAGAGTGCTCAAAACAGATAAATACATGATGAAGCCCTGGATGTACATTCTTGGAAACCAGGACTCTTAAGGGAAAACTGATTCATGCTTTTGTTTTCAGCACTTTGTACTGAGGTCTTCAGTATGACTGTCAGTATGAGAATTGTTTGAAGGGTTGAGGGAAGTTTTGTTCTGTGCATGAATGTGAAAAAAAAACACCTTGTACAATTCTTAGTTATTCTTCTCCTCCTGGCTCAGTGAGAGAAAGCGACCGAGGCTTGTTTCATTGTGTGACTTCCTTCCCAGGATTTATGAGTCTCATCCTGGGGCAGGATCTCAGAGTGAGTGCTGAGTACACTACCTTTGCTACAGCCACCTTTGGATAAGCCAGAGAGAGCTCACAGCTGCAGGGGAAATCTATTGCCACCATAACTCTTGGCTCATCCTGCAGCTTTCTTTCTGGCTGTGACAGAAAAATGGAAATTATGAAACTTTGTATCCTGCACCAGAGTACCACATGAGATCCATGAATCTTCAGCTCCCTTCAGAAAACCTGATGCTTTGATTACCACTGCCCACTGACAGATTACTGTCCACAGCCCCATTATTTCTGATTAGCGAGGGTGAACCTTACCTACCTGAATGTAAATAAATGCCAATAGGTTTCTTGAACTTCTCCATCCTTAAAAATCTATAGCCCTTAATAAAACATGCACTGTAAATAGTATCATATCATGAACTAAATCTTTATCATGTAATTGGATACATTTCCTAAGCTAATTTTAATTGCTTCAAGAAACTGCTTAACACTGTAGATCAATCCTGAGATCCGAGATGACATTTCTCTCACAAAATTAATTATTAATACCCTGATCATTTGCTTAAGACATTAATAGTTTTCATTGATCAGCACATCCTGTTTATCTAAAATGGCCTAATCACCATGCATGTTAGAAGAGTATCTGAACATACTCAATTAGAGATACTGTCAGCTTTCCGCCACATCAGCAGATCAGAAGTTAAGAGTCCCTTTTTTCTTCACAACATATTAAGTCTAGCTTTATCAGAAATGCAGGTATTTAAGGGCACAAAAGAAAGGCAAGTTCTTTAATGATGGTTGTTCATTTTCTGTTAGCTTCCTGGTAAACATATAGGCTTTGCAGTGATTGCATGGTTTAAATTAAGGCTAAGAGCCCATTATTAAGTAGCTTGTGTTGGTCCATGTTTTCATGTAAGCCTGTGTCTGCTCACAGTGTTTTTCGTATAAGTGGGAGTAAGATGAGAAACTCCAAGTTATTTTCAGCTTAAAAATATTGGGGATCCCACAGTGGATACATATATCAAAACATCACTTTGCATACCATAAATATATACATTTGTCAATTTAAAAGTAATATAAATGTAATATATTTTTTAAATGAAAGCTAAAATAACACATTGACACCACAGTAATATCTGGCAATGTAGGATGCTGTGGAGTTTTCAAAGGAGTTTCATTTATTTAACCAGAAGGTTTCCCTTGAAACAAGATTCTGAGAGAGGTTGGATAGGGTGGACTAATCAGGTTTATATAATAAACCTGAAAGAAACTTAATAACAAGTTTCTGCCAGAGTTGTAAATAGAAGGCAGGCCTCCCAGTTCCCTCAATTTCTGGTGTATTTGATTAACTGATGACTGGGTAGCATCCTGCTCATCTTTCAGACCCCAGGGAGAGCTCACCTCCGTTATGAGGATTCCCAAATGAAAAGTTTCCTCCTTCCTTGATAACGGCATATCATACTGCAATCGTATGAAATTGTGGGTAAGAACCCTTACTAGAGAAAGAGACTCTAGAGGATAGAGATGGTGTTTTGTTCCTTTTGGGTGGGTCCAGTGCTTCACCTTGTGTCTGGCAAGCAGAAGATGCTTCCTATATGCATTCACACATGGTAGGCTGGCAGGATAGGTAGAAGAAGAGATGAGTAGATGAGAGGAACCACAGTGAGAGTTCTGTTTCACTAACTTCATGTTGCAATCCTTCAGCACCAGAGGGCAATTTGGCTTTACTTGAGTCATGCAGTGTTTAATTTTTTTTTCTTTTAAGACACGGTCTCCTTCTGTTGCCCAGGCTGCAATGCAGTGGAATGATTATGGCTTACGACAGCCTAGAACTCCTGGGTTGATGTTATCCTCCTGTCTTAGCCACCTGAGTAACTTGGACTACAGGCATGCACCATCATGCCAGGCTGATTTTTAAAATTTTTTTTGTAAAGGTGAGGGTCTCGCTATGTTGCCCAGGCTGGTCTTGAACTCCTGGCCTCAAGTGATCCTCCCATCTTGGCCTTCCAAAGTTCTGGGATTACAGGTGTGAGCTACCACAACTGGCCTTAAAAAGTACTTTAAACTAATTTTCAATACCTAAACCTTAGGATATTTTCAAAATGCAGCAATATTTTCAACTCTTCTTTGAAAAGTTGTGGATGCCCCTCCAACCCTGGATCTGTGTTCCACATTACCCATCTGATCGAGCTAAGGGCACCTGTTCCCTTAAGCAACGACTTGCCTGCATTCCCCAGTATGAGTGTCCCACAGCTTCACTCAGTTACTTAAAAAGCTTTTGGTAAAGGTAATGAGTAGCCTCTCTTTACTGCAGAATTCTCCTAATTCAACATTCCTGGCTAACAGAAGTATTAGTGTTCCTAATCATGTTCTGGATTTGTCCAAATGAGCCTAGTAGGCAGCTACTGATACTGATTTCTCTAACTTGGCACTGGAGCTGCATATTTCTATGGCATGTAAGAAGTGAAGCATGTGGCAAAGGGAAAAAATATTTGAATCAATGGGGTAGTCATAGTTTTCCCCCACGATATAACTCCATTAGTAAAATTGGGAATTTCTACCTGAGGTCCACCAATGTTAACCCTATCTTATTCTGTGGTAGTTCCGTATTTGCTTTTTTTTTTTTAATTTCTAATTGAAAAATAAATAAGAATGGAGTCTGGACACAGAGGGACCTTGCAAAGCATATTCCATTCCCATTCCCCTGCCTTCATGTTGGTTTATATCTAATCAGAAACTGTACTTGTCTTCACTCAGTAGCCACAGGAACACCTCAGCTCCAATCCCTGCCCGAGTATTATTTGCAAGAAAAGAATAGGAGGCTTATTTGCTTCATATTAATAATTTAGCATGTTCCTCTCTTCCCCTCCAATGGTACTTTCCCACAAGTGAGTTTTATTTATATTCAAGTAAAGATAAACTTGCAGAGACCACGAGGAGAAATACTCCCAAATCTCATTGTAATGTGTCTTCTTTCCTACAGATTAAAGGTTATACAAAACTTAAAAGAAGCAGCGATTCTATTCACTTGTTATTGGACTTGAAACTCCCTTTGACCTCGGAAACTGAAGATGAGGTTGCCATGGGAACTGCTGGTACTGCAATCATTCATGTTGTGCCTTGCAGGTAGAGTGTCATTTTAAAACTTTTTGATTTAGAAATGCCAGTGTATTTCACACTAATTCAAAAGTGGGCCTTCACTTTAGATGGCAATGATGAAATCACAAGAGTGGACGCTACCATGACTAGCATTTGCTGACACTGTTGAATATACCTTCCTGATGGTCTTTTGGTGACTCTTTTCATGGTGTTGTATCCAGAGTTAGACACTGATGTTTCACCTGTCTATCTGGTCCATTTAGAGTCGTTTGAGCCATTATTTAGTTTGAAAGTTGTTATTTTTGCTCATCCCAGTGCCCATTTGCACAGAGATATGGGGCAGTAAAACTGATAGTATAGTCTGGAGTATTGCCTACTTTCATTTCAGTGGATGGATGTTTATCTGGATAGCTCTTTCAATGTCTTTGTTGATATCACTACATCTTCTGATACCGACTCTCATTTCAGTGTACTAAAGTTTAATAGGAACTAGAAAGCAAAAGACAGGAGGTTTTTGCCATATACTCACAGTCAACTACTAGAAAAGGGATTTGAAAAGTTCAAACATGGCTGAGCATAGTGGCTCACGCCTGTAATCTCGGCACTTTGGGAGGCTGAGGTGGGTGGATCACCCGAGGTCAGGAGTTCAAGACCAGCCTGAACAACATGGCAAAGCCTCATCTCTACTAAAAATACAAAATTAGCTGGGTGCGGTGGCACATGCCTGTAATCCTAGCTACTTGGGGAGCTGAGGCAGGAGAACTGCTTCAACCTGGGAGGTGGGGGTTGCAGTGAGCCGAGGTCATGTCATTGCACTCCAGCCTGAGCAAGAGAGTGAAACTCTGTTTCAAAAAAAGAAGAAAAGAAAAGAAAAGTTCAAACATGCTATGTATTGCTTTCTCTGTTTTCTGGAAGATGTGAGTCTAGCAGTTGACATATATAATTCAAGTGCTGAGGCATCATAAGTCCAGCATGCACCGGGAATTGGGTTCCAGCTTGGGCTGCTGTGCATCATTCCAGGCCCTTTGAAATGAGTGTAGTTGACTTGTTCTGTTATTCAGAGTGTCAAGTCCAAAAGGGACACCTGAATATATTTGCATTTTTACAGCATGAAGCAAAAATGACTTTTGGATCACCATTACTTTGATTTATGCATTCACTCAACATTACTGAGTACCTTGTAACAAGCCAGCCCTGTACAGGGATCTGGGAATATAATCCTAAGCAAAGCAGACATGCTACCACTTTTTTACAGTTCTATTAACTGAGTCCTGTGACTGCTGACAACTTGTTATGGTAGATCATTTACCATTGTTACAAAATCAAAACTAGTAATGGTAGTACTAACATATATTTCCACTTAGTCTATGCCAGGCACTATGCTAAGCACTTGTTATCCTTTATCTCATTTCTTTCTCCCATTACCCCTAAGAAGTAAGCATTTATTATTTTACTATATTAACTATGAATATTAATATTATTACTGAAGCATCAAGAAGTTAAGAAACTCACCCAAATTCACAAAGGCAGTAAGTGGTAGAGCTAAGATTCAAACTCAGGCAGACTATAGTCTTGCCTGTTCATACTGTACAGTCTTTTAGCTGTCTTGCAGATTTGGCAAGTTTATGGTTGCAAATTCAGTTTTGAGGGTTTGGTTTTCATTCTTCTTAAGTTTTTCTAAATGTAAACCCTCATTTACTTATACACCTTTTCATAGTGTATCTTCATGTTTCAAACGTCTTGCCCTCGTTGAGTTCACAACATCTTCCCTGCTCCATGATTGTGAACATCTTGGCATCTCTCTTAGTGATATTATTTCTCTCCCTCAACCAGTCAGAAACTTCATCTTCCCCCCAGCAGTGTGCTCAGGATGTAGGAACTCAGTTGTTTTTCTCTGGCACCTTGACCCTCCTAAAGGATTTGACTGAGACTCTCGAGTTTTAACTTCTCATAACGACTCTGGTATAAACATACTCTTTAAGCCATGAAGTAGTGAATTGATTTCTCTTATTTGGCTACAGCAATATGTTTATTTAACCCAATGTGCTAAGTAAATATCAAGATACAAAAGGCTGAAAATCAAGGAAGGCCCTACTCTCTTCAGTAGTGTTTTGAAAAACTTGAGGGAATTCTCACCTAAGGTGTGTGTGTAGCTGTGTCTTTTTTATTCACTTAGCTTTTTGCAGAGAATCAGTATATGGATTGTTTTTGTGAGACTTTTTTGTGAACTGCTTTACATGGCATTAATATTCCCTTACCATATGCCTCCTTCAGTGTAGGTAAAGTCAAGCTTTAATTAATGTTTTTGTTTTCTTGTTATTTGTCTTGATTTCATTAATTTACATAGCACTCCACTGTCTGAATTTTGATTTTTTTAAACTGCTTTAGGCCAGATGCAGTGGCTAATGCCTGTAATCCCAACACTTTGGGAGGCCAAGGTGGGCAGATTATCTGAGGTCAGGAGTTCAAGACCAGCCTGACCAACATAGAGAAACCTCATCTCTACTAAAAATACAAAATTAGCTAGGCATGGTGGCACATGGTAGATATCCCAGCTACTCAGGAGGCTGAGGTAGGAAAATCGCTTGTACCAGGAGGCAGAGGTTGTGGTGAGCCAAGATTGCGCCATTGCATTCCAACCTAGGCAACAAAAGCGAAACTCCATCTTAAAAAAAACAAACAAACAAAAAACAACCTGCTTTAACTGCTCACTCTTTTCCTTTTGTGCATCAACCATAAGTTTTGTATACATCCTTAGTCTGAGATTTCTTGGTGAGTTTTTGGCAAGAAATATATGTATGCCTGTTATGTTTACCATAATTAGTGAATCTCACATAACCCTTTTTCTGATCTTTTTTCCCCAAATAAGAAAGGATCCAAATATATAAGCAGGCTAATCCTGCAAGGAATGCATCTGATAAAGTCTGTTAATTATTTGAGGGCATTTATTAGTAATTTGTGGTACAATGGGAATGTTCTTTTTTGCCAAATGGTACACTTGGTGTCTAGTAATAATTTTCAAATAAAACAAAACTATCAATGCCAGTAATCTGAAAATTCAGCCACTATGAAAATTGGCTACATTCTTCTTCTTCTTAACCAATTTGAACTCAAGATCATAAAACTCTACTACCCAAAAAAGAAAGGAAACTAACAAATGAGTAAAACATTCTTTCAGAAGTAAAAATGTAAAGTGTAACAGGGATTGCTAGTGACTGTCGAAAACTAGAAAAAAAAAAAAAATCCCCACTAAAATATTAACTTGTGCCCAGCTCTAATCCTCTATGACAGGCCTTCGGTTTGGTTTTTTTTTTTTTTTTTTTTTTTTTTTTCCTGTAATCTCCTAATTCTCTAGGGTTTCCATAATGGTAATGAATAGAATTTAAATTAGTTTAGAAAGTAAAAACAAAGGGTCTGTATAAAGCAAACCAAAATGGTCTGCAGGCTAGGTGCAGTTCTTAGTCCACCACTTTGAGACACTTTATTTCAAATGTTTGCTTTACAATAAGCTATTGTATTTTTTAAAAATAGGTATAAGAGAATAATTCTAATATTTCTACTATAAAGAAAAACAAATATTTAAGGTGGTGGATATCCCAATTATATTGATTTGATCTTTTCAAATGATATGAATATATTAAATTATCATATATATCACAAAAATATGTACATCTATTATATAAAAATAAAAATAATTAAAAAAAAAAAAACAAGACCAGGTGCAGTGGCTCACACCTGTAATCCCAGCACTTTGAGAGGCCAAGGCAGGTAGACCATTTGAGGCCAGTAGTTTAAGACCATTGTGGCCAACATGGTGAAACCCAGTCTCTACTAGAATACAAAACTTAGCTAGGCATAGTGGTGCCCATTTGTAATCCCAGCTACTCGGGAGGATGAGGCACTAGAATTGCTTGAACTTGGGAGGCAGAGGCTGTAGTGAGCTGAGATCATGCCACTACACTCCAGCCTGGGTGACAGAACAAGACTCTGTCTAAAAAACAAAAAAAAAAAAAAAAAAAAGAAAGAAAGAAAAAGAAATGATAACACATGCACTTAGACCTTAGACCATTTATACTAATTTTCTTTTGTCAAGAATGCACTTGCCTTAAATGTCCCCAGAACCCACCCTGTAACCTTCTTTAAATCTATGCTCAAATGTCACCTAATTGGCGAGGCTTTTCCTGATCACAGTAAATACATTAAAATAGCAATATTTATTTTGACTAACATCTTCTATGCTTTTTAATGCTTGATTTTTCTTCAGAGCTCTTATCAATATCTGAATAATGATATATTTTGCTTTCTTCTTTTTACATAAAATATCTTTCCCTCCTAGACTGTAAGCTTTATTTGGGTAGATATTTCTATCCTTTTAGTTCACTGCTGTATTCTCAGCATCTGGAAAATGTCTGACATATAGTGCAATTCAATAAATAATTTTCAAATAAATGAATACTACATCCTGGCCAGTCATGAGATAAAGAGACTAGATCCCCAATTTTATACTACATTTGTAGCTGTACTATAGATCCAGGGTGCTTTGTAGTCCTGTCAATGCCAACTCTGTGGACTAGCCATCTATGATGATAATCCATACAAGTTTTTAAAAATTAGATGTAAATATCTAAAGTATTAACATTGGTCTGTGGGCCTTAAAGTCTGTATCTTGGTGCAACACTGCCTCGTCCATTTCTTTTTTTATTTTATTTTATTTTTATGTATTTTTATTTTTGAGATAGAGTCTTGTTCTGTGTTCCAGGCTGGAATACAGTGGCACGATGTCAGCTCATTGCAATCTCCACCTCCCTGGTTCAAGCGATTCTACTACCTCAGCTTCCCGAGGAGCTGGAAGTACGATGCCTACCACCATGCCCAGCTAATTTTTGTATTTTTAGTAGAGACGGGGTTTCACCATGTTGGTCAGGCTGGGCTGGAACTCGTGACCTCAAATGATCTACCTGCCTCAGCTTCTCAAAGTGCTTATAGGTATGAGCCAACACGCTGGGTCCCACCTGGCACATTTCTGA